AAGAGAGAGAGAGAGAGAGAGAGAGAGAGAGAGAGAGAGAGAGAGAGAGAGATACAGAGACTGGTTGGGTTAATGACTGCTTGCGTGGGCACAAATTCAAGAACAGGTATCGGCTCTACGGCTCAATCTTTCTGCATAAACGGTTAGGGCACAAACCCGATGTTTTAGACTATCTATATATCGTTAGAACATATGAAGATTAACACGAATGCCAGTAGAGTGACTAGTTTGTCTGCAGAAGACCTTCCACACCATTGGGATGGCAGGGAAGATTGGTTGGTGATCTTGGCCCCCCTACATAAATTATTTCTTCTTTTTTTTTTTGTGAATTTGTGAATGTGTTGTGTAGAGACTGAATTAAAACCCGTATTTTGGGGTTGCTACACCAAATCAATAATATAAAATCCTTAAGTACACATGTGCAGCTGTATCTGTCTTATTCACTAGGAAATTATTATTATTATTATTATTATTATTATTATTAATTTATTCTTATTTAAATTATTATTGGTTGAGAACATTATTATTGTTAGAGGGTTGTATCAGGCGATGGAGACAGCTTGCATGGTTTTGATGAGGCTGCATGCCAACTTTATTGACATGAGGTGAACCCAACCCCCTCCTTTCTAACTCCCCTTATTGACATGACTGTGTAACCAACCAACTTTACGACCATTTCTAAGTTCATATATAAACCACATATGTAAGATAGATTTGCCCTGTTTGGCACCTAGTACTTCTTGTCCTGCATGCCCAAATTATCTTATCCACTAGATTATCTCTTTATACTACTCTTTTTCATTGCTCCCATTCTTACTCTGCACGAAGTTCAAGAAATATGAAATTGTGTTGTTGACATCTACGGAGACCGTAGAGAAATAGTATTCCTTCCGTCCTAAAACAGTTAAGCCAAGGATCAAAATTTTGGTACTCGTCCTAATCCCTCCCTCCCAAATAAGAAGTTATATGAATATAATCTTTTATGAAATGAGTATTGAAAATAAGAAATAGAGACTGGATGGAGTTGAACTATGAGAAAAATAAACGAGCCATGTAAATTGCCATATTGGGACGGGGAGAGTAATAAATTTTGGTATAAGGAAATGTAACATCCAAATTGAGGAAAAGTGATTGTTTCTTTGATATAGAGTTGTAAAAATAACCAGGATACACCAAGAAGTGTACTCCACATTGTATCCCAAAGAGATGCATAAGCATTTTTACGATTTACACTGGCACAAAATGTTAGTTTAATCAAAAAAAGTTTGTACGGTATTTTGTTACATTATAAAGCATCACATTTGCAAAGAATGTTTGCGCATACTTTTGGGGTATAAAATGGGTAACATTTTAGGTGTATAAATATCATTTCATGAGTAAAAATAGCGGGAGGGATGTGATATTTAGCGTATGCATTGGATTAGGGGTGGACACGGTACGGTTCCGGAACGGTTCCGGTTCCGGAACCGCCGGTTCCGGTACCGCCACCCCTTGGTACCGGTACCGGTACCGGACCGGCCGGTACCGGTTCCGGTTCCGGTACCGTTTCCGGTACCGTTTCGGCCACCCCTAATTTTGTTTTTTTTTTTGCTTTTTTATTATATTTTTAAAATGTAAAATTGTAAATGTGTAATTGTTAAAGGAAATGATGAAATAAAAAAATCTAAAAATG